CAAGATTTGACAAAGTCCCCAGGGAGTGAGGTCAGAGAGCAAGGGGTGGTCTTATACAGGGCTGTGAGTGGCCTTACACAGGGAAAAAGATGAGACTGGGGAATTGCTAATGGAAAATAGAAAGGAGGGTGAAGATCAATTATCTGATTCCAAGGTAGGTGTGTCCCGTGGATTCCCAGTTAGAGTTCCTAAAACTATGTTTATGTTTAGGCCTTGTTAATACAGTGCTATAAATAAATGTGTCAGTGCTCATGCATGAGAACATAAGACATGGAAGGAGATGTCCCCATATCCTTGGGGATTTGCTTAGGAGGTTTGACCTTGTTGGAGGAGGTGTGTAACTAGAGGTGTGCTCTGAGAGTTTCTGACCTGTGCTCTCTCTGCTTTGTGCTTGTAGTCCAAGGTGGGAGCTCTCTGCTTCTGCGCCAGATTCCATGCTTGATGCATTTGCTTCATCCTGACCCTCTGGAACCCTAAGCCCAAATAAACTGTCTTCTATATGTTACCTTGGTCCTAGTGTTTTATCACAGCAACAGAAAAGCATTGAATACACCCACTAGCACTGTCTGTGCCTGCCTGTTTCTCTATAGCCTTGTTCTGGAGCATTTCCGTACGTGTGATTCAAATACAATCATTATTTAACGTGCAATTTTCTTGTAAGTTGGACCTTTTCATGTTTCAAGAGGCTACCTTGTTCTTAACTGTTTATTTTAAACAAATATTGAATATTTGATCCTAGAGGGCATCCAATATTCTTTAACAGTTTTCTCAAGTTAATACTTGGAGGGAATCTCTTTAGGACACGGGATAGAAAGGAGGTGAAACAGGATATTCTAAGGGGGAGATGACACATTCCCTCCTGCGGGGCATATTAAAACAGATGAAGTAAACAACTCAAAGACTTCAAAAAGTCCCTGAAATTGACCACATACACTAAGCTCCTTGTGGTGGTTTGAATAGGAATGGCTCTCATGGACTCATAGACTTGAAGGCTTGGTCACTACTTGAGGAAGATTAGGAGGTGTGGCCTTGTTGAAGGAAGTGTGTCACTGGGGGTGGGCTTTGGGGTTTCAGAAGCCCAAGATGGGCTCTGGGCTAGTGGCTCTCTCTCTCTGTCTTCCTGCCACCTGCAGATCCTGAGGTAGAACTCTTAGCTCCTTCTCTGCTAGCATGCTGCCATGCTTCTCGGCTTGCTGATAATGGACAAACCTCTTGATCCTGTAAGCAAGCCCCAGTTAAATCCTTTCCTTTGTAAGAGTTTGCCATGGTCATGACATCTCTTCATAGCAATAGAGCACTGGCCAAGACTCTCCTACCTTCACAGACATTACCTTAAGCTGTAAGGGGTGCTGGGAGACACTCTCAGACCAGGCTAAGACCAACTGAGCTACCTGAAAAGGACCTACAGAGCTACCAGTGAGCTGTGCAATAGGCTCCAAGCTCTTGGATTTCATGAACTGTCACTTGTGCTGGAATGGGGTTATTTGGTCATGCAGCTGTGAGTAACCCCTCACCCATATTCCTGTAACCCCAATAAAGCTCATTGGTCCACCAAGTTGGACTGCGGTGGCATCCTCACTTTGATCTGGGGTAAACAGATGTTTACATCTCCCTGGGAATAGTTACACATAAATATTCATTATAACTTTAATGCCCAACAATAATTGTATTAGTATTGTATTAGACAAATCAGGTCATAGGAATGCCAAGAATTGAGGCTGGGGATATTTCATTTGCTCTGATTAAAATAAGCAAAGGGAGTCGAATGGTGTTGGCACATGTCTTTAATCCTAGCACTCAGGAGACAGGGGGAGGTGTATCTCTGTGAGTTTGAGGCCAGAAAGTTCCAGGACACCTAGTGCTACACAAAGAAACTCTGTCTTAGAAATTAAAATAAAATAAAATAAAAATAACCAAAGGTTGCCATATATCTCAGTCAGGGTTTCTATTGCTGTGATAAAACACCATGAACAAAAGGCAAGTTGGGGAGGAAAGGGTTTATTCTACATTGCTGTTTATCACCAAAGGAAATCAGGTCAGAAACTCAAATAGGGCAGAATCAACAGGATCTTGGGGGCAGGAGCTGATGCAGAGGCCATGGAAGTGTGCTGTTTACTGGCTCACTTTTTTTTTTTAAGTAGAATTCAGAACTAACTATCAGTCCAATCAGTCCAGAGATGGCTCCACCCATGATGGACTAGGCCCTCCCTGATTGATCGATTAAGAAAATGTCTTAGAGCTGGGTCTCATGGAGGCATTTCCTCAAGGGAGGCTCCTTTGTCTCTGATGACTCTAGCTTGTGTCAAGTTGACCCAAAACCAGCCAGTACGCCATGAAATGTATATAGAAAAGTAGGGATTGCAATTTTTCCATTTTAGTGTTCTCAGGATAGGGCCCAGATTCTGCGTTAGTGACTGCACGTGAGGGATATCATTAGCCATTTAGAGGAATTCCTCTGTTAGAGCGTGCAGACAGCCCAAAGACCTAGATATCCTGATCTCAAGATCTCCTATATATCCCCGGAATACAGCTGCTTCTGAGTGTATCCATGAAAATAAACTGAATGACTCAGGATTTCGATCTATTAGCTACTGGTTCTAAGTAAGGTAGACTCTTCATTAAGTTGCACTGCATGAAACTTTGCTTAAGCAGACAGCAATAACAGAATCACAACTGTTACTAGGAGGTGACCCAAGTCATCCCAGCCTATTTTAGGTAGAAATGGCTAATGGCAGATGACTGCATTCTTCAGGTTACAATCCAGGACTGCAAGAGCATGCCTGTCACTCGGAGCCATAAGAGCATCTGATTCGCTTTGTTCTGTGTTCAGTAGACAATGTTTGAGTGCCTCTCTTTAGACCGTCCCCCATTCGAGTTCTCTTTGCTTCGCTCAGCCACTCACAGACCCACAGAGTGTGGGGGTTTCACTGTTCAGATCCCCTCCACATGAGACGCTCTGCCAGTGTGTTTCTGGTTTGGCCTTTGTGGGATTAGAACAGTGATTCCTGTGCACGAAAGCAAGTTAGTAACAGCAAGCTTTAATACACATCACTTGAATAATACTGCTTGAAACACGTATCATTGTTCCCCTTGTGGAAGACAATGTTTCTACTGGAAAAAAATACGGTCAGGCATACATCCTGGGAAAGACCCTATGTCCATTATGCCCTCTTCTCAAGAATAAAAAACACCTTCCAGAAGCATCTATTTTCCAATTATTCAGCTTTACCTGGAAGCAGATTGTCCACCCTAATGTTTTACTTATCTAGGAAGTTTGGCATCACAGTCTATGGCATGAGAACTAACCCCACTATCCTTCACCCTTGTCCCTTGAGCTAAATCATGCATTTGTCAGTATGTGGCTTACTATACCCATTGTAGATTTGTTCAGAAAAATTGCAAGAGTATTCATAAACGTGTTGTCAATAGTTCCTCTCTGAGAGTTAGTGCTTCCCAGCTGGCAAGCACCTTGTGAATCTCGTCAAGCAAAAATCTACACCATGATGTTTGGTTCTTGTTGCAGGATATTTGATCACACCATGAACCCTAGGATTGTGTTATTTACTGAAAGAAGCTATTTCTTGTTGTGATGTGGCTCAGCCTTAGCCCATACCTTTATTTCTTCTGGCTGGAATACAGACATGACCTTAGTATTCACCTTTAACCCCAAACAATGAAGGTAAGGTTGGTTTGTAGAAGGGAGTACCCGTGTTTTCAAGTGATGCTTAATTGAGTGGCAGACAAAGGGATGAATCAGAGAAAGATTTGACAGAATAGGCTATACCCGACTCTCATGAAGAAAGGGGAGTTTCTTAAGGGAGCAGGACAGAGAAAGAGGAGTCAGTTTTACCAGGAGAGTTTTACAGAGACTGGTTGCAGAGAGAACAAGCTAGACACAGGTGAAGACAGAAGGAGCCAGAGGATGAGAAGGAGCCAGAAGATTCGAATAGATTGACAGAGATAGTCTGAGGCCAAGCAGAGTGATTCAGGAGAAGCTGAGAGAAGCCAGTTTGAGTCAGTCAGCATGGAGAGGAGCTTGAGCCAGAACAGCTGAGTTGATCCTGTCAGTCAGAGATCAGGAAGAACTGGGAAGGGGAAGCTTATTTAGCAGTAAGCCTCAGAGGCTGAAAACATTCTAGGCCTAAATAAGATTGTATGGAGCTAGAAGCTTCCAGGACTAGGCCTAGATTAGCAGACTGTGAAAATTAGCCTTTGAGACAACAATTATTAGAGGAGGATAAAAGCTACTTTTACAAGTCCTTGCTTTACCAACACTTAAAGTGTCCCCCGCACAATCCCAGGGTCTTACAGAGAAACAACCCAAGACCACAGATGCTTAGGAAATGGCTGGAGTCAGAAAAACAGAGCTATGGCGGGAACCGTGGTTTTCCTAAGCGACCGCATCCAGTGCCTCTGCTCCCCAGCAGCACCCCAGCAGGAACTACTTACACACATTTAAGGCTTGTGCATGAACACTTCCACTGCGACACACCCACCCTGTGCTGGATGGTTTCACACAGGCTCTCATTTAACTAACTCTTTCACACCCAAGAAATTGTGTGATTTTTTTTTCGATTAAAACACTTAATTCAGGATGAAAGCTACAAATTCTGTAGTCAAGTTTTACCCTAAAATTAATGTTAAGACCATGTCTTAATCACTAGGACGTTTAAAGGCTGTTTTTTTTCTTTTGCCCTCTTCTCAAAAACTGCATTGAGGATTTGACAGTGTCCCTGATGGTCATTCTTGTGTAACCCTGATTTCCCTCTTCCTGTCTCCACTCTTTTTTTTTTTAACTTTAACACTCGCTCACTGCCCAGTCCCAGTACCCTCTTCCACAATCCTCTCCCCCACCCCACCCCCATAAAAGGCACTTCTCCGGGTCCGGTGGGACTAGCAGAATCTCAGCTCTCTCCTCCCAAATCTCAGCTATGTCTCCCCTCAATATCCCACCGTTTCCCTCCCAGTGGTGAACAAGAGGAAACACAGACACGGGAAAGTCTCGTAAATTGCTTCAATGAAAGAGAGCTGATCTCTTTGGAGCGCATCTGGGCAACAGTGCCCAGAACAACTCCTCTGGCATTAAGGAGTCCCCGAGCCCCCATGATGACCACTTTTGGTAGAAGACTTTGTGTATGGTTTTCCTGGTCTGCTGGGAGCGTTGTCCACTTTGGCCACAGCTGGCTTCTGGATGGTCCGTTTTAATGGCCTCTCGGGTTCCTGTCTCTTCTCTTCCCTGGGTCTGGAGCTTGCCATCTTCTCATCTGTAGACCAAGGATTGGTGTCTTCCTTTGTAGGCCGTACTCTGTTGTCCATCGCCTTGATCCTGGCTTCCTCCCTGGCTCTGATACACATATGTTCCCTGGCCTTGGTGCACTCCTGCTCCTTGGTCTTGACATACTCCTGCTCTTTGGCCCTGGCACACTCCTGTGCCTTGGCCCTGGCACACTCCTGTGCCTTGGCCCTGACACAATCGTGTGTTCTGGCTCTGGCGTGAGCCTGTTCCCTGGCTCTAGCACGAGCCTGTTCCCTGGCCTGAGCCAGTTCCCTGGCCTTGGAACGTGCTAGGTCCTTAGCTCTAGACCTTGCCCTTGACCTAGCCCTAGTTCTGGCCCTTGACCTGATGCTTGATCTGGCGCTTGACCTGGCGCTTGACCTGGTGCTTGACATGGCGCTTGACCTGGCGCTTGACCTGGCCCTTGACCTGGCCCTTGACCTGGCGCGTGACCTGGCCCTTGACCTGGCGCGTGACCTGGCCCTTGACCTGGTCCTTGACCGGGCCCTTGACCTGGTCCTTGACCTGGCCCTTGATGTGGCCCTTGAAGTAGCCCTTGAGGTGGCCCTTGATCTGGTCCTTGTTCTGGCCCTCCTGGACCTTGCCCTCAAAGCCCTGGCCTTGCGTCTCCAGACTTCTCTGGCCTTCTTGGCCGCCTTGCGACGCGAGCGGGGCCTGCGTGGTCTGGGGGATTTGAGCACGATCTTTCCAGAAGAGAGGGTGCCCACTGTCGACCGTCCCGCCTTTCTCCTCGGCTTTGAAATCTTCCAGACCGTGAAGTAGCCGGCAGCGTCACTGCCACTGACCCTCAGGAGAGTGCCTTTCTCCGACCTGGTGGATTCCCCCACGTGGTGAGAGGAGATCTTCCTGCGAACTTCATAGCCAGCATTCCCCAGCTCCTTCTTGAGCGCAGCCAGAGTCAGGTGCTGGTGGCCTGCAATGGCCCTGAGCAGCAGCTGGGACACTCTGAGCACGGACTGCGGACCTCGCCTGACCGGGGTTCTCAGGGCTCTCTCCACAGGCTGCTGTATCTGGATCGTAAGTTCTGCGCCTTGGGATTCCCCACTGGGCTGGGCGGCCTCAGCCATGGCCCCGCTTCCCCCACCGCGGGGCCACCCGCTTTGATCTGGCCTCTGGCCTCTGGCCTCAGCAGGTGTGGGGCTCTGGGGCGCCTACGTCACAAAGCCCCCCCACCCCCACCCCCGCCCCAGTGCTTGCGTCCTGGTGGAAAGGCAGATGTGGCCCACTGCTCTCCTTTGACCTCACCGCCATCCCAACTCTTCGCATCTGCATGAATGTAACAATTGCCAGTGTAACCGTCACCCCATGGTTCTGTTCCTGGCCAGTTCTTGCTTAAAAAAAAAAAAAAGTGAATATTTGGGAAGGATATACTCTGAAGATATTAAGGAAGACCTATTTAGAAAGATAAAGCTAAGGGGAAGACTAGAATGAACAAATAAAATGACTGCAAAGAAGGCTACTTCTTCAGTCCTCACACAAAACAAAGCAAAAACAAAACCAAAAACTCCCATTCAACTCTCAAGTGAAAATTTCCCCCAAGGAAAGTGAGAGAACACTTTTTTGTTTTGTTTTGTTTTGTTTTTTTGGAGACAGGGTTTCTCTGTATAGTCCTGGCTGTCCTGGAACTCACTCTGTAGACCAGGCTGGCCTCGAACTCAGAAATCCACCTGCCTCTGCCTCCCAAGTGCTGGGATTAAAGGCGTGCGCCACCACCGCCCGGCTGAGAGAACACTTTTATTCTGTCTTCTTCTTGTGCTGTTTTCATTCGTAGACATATTTGTGCTGAGAGGCTCCATGTCCTGCTTAAAAAAAAAAAAAAAACAAAACAACCAACCAAACAAACAAACAAACAAAACCTGTCAACAAATTTTAGTATGTATCAAGCAAGAGTCTGAATAGGATGACCTCAGGAAGACAGGGTCAGAGGCCTGTGTAGGAGGTAAACGGATCCTCAAGAGGCCAGTAGACTCCCAAACTGCAGTGACTGGGAGATCTCTTTTCCAGAGAAGGCTGAGGAACAAGCTACACCCTAGTTCCCCCAGAGCAACCAATTCAGGAGGGAACACATTTTGGTTGCTTAGATTTTCTTTCATTCATTTTGTTTTGAAATTTGTTGATATTTGCACTATCATTTGCAAATTTTTGATCACACACACACACACTTTCATAAGTGTCCCTTATTCTACACCAACAGAAATCTCTAATATGTTTCCACATCTATAATTGGTCTTCAGCTAATTCTCATTCACCCTTTACCTTCGCCTTCCTTCTTTCTCCCTTACTTACCTGTTTTATTATTTGCATACTAATATCCAATCTATCAGCTTTCTTAGCTAGACATAGTGGCTCATGTCTGTAATCCCAGAATCCAGGTAGCCGAGGATCACAGTGAGTTGGAGGCTAGCCTGGGCTACATAGACAGTTTCAAGAAAGCTTGACCTACAGGATGAGATATTGTTCCAAAGAAACAACAGTTCTACCTTTCCAACTAGTATCCTAACACCACTATCCCAGAACCTTAATGAACACATGAATAGAGTGCACAAATATAGTCTTCTATAGCAAGATGAACTTGGGAATGCTGGGAAATTAGTGGGAATGTTACTGTCAATCTCCCTAAACTGCAGCAGAAAACAGATACCCTAGTGAAGACAATGCTCTTGCAAGACTAGTATAAAACAAAACAAAGGAACCAAAAGAGGATGTAAAAATTACGAATAGAAGACAGATCAGTTCCAACAGATGTACAAACCACAGCAAAGAAAGGCAAAGAATAAACAACACCACCCCACCCCAAGGACACAGCCACAACCCCACAACTTAGTCATCGAGATAGCTGACATGTTAGAGAAAAAAATCAGAGTCCCACTTTAAATAAAGGTCAGTGACCAAATAAAGACCTCTAATAAGCAGAAAAGCAAGTGAAAAGCAATTCTGGACCTAGACAAGACAACTTCAGAAGGGAAGGAAATGGTAATTTGGAAGAGAAAAATGTAAAATATGGAGGGAAAATCAACAAGGAAATTGAAACACTGAAAAGGAGCCAGAAGGAATGTTTGGAAGGGAATTGTGGCTGGGGTGAAAAGGAGGAGGAGGAGGGAGAGGAGGAGGAGGAGAAAGAGGAGAAGGAAGAGGAGGAGGAAGAGGAGGAAGAAGAGGAAGAGGAGGAGAAAGGAGGAGGAAGAGGAAGAGGAAGAGGAGGAAGGAGACGAGGTAAAGATCTGCATTGGAGTGGGTCAAAAAATAACAGATACCCTTTCTTGCCACTTCTGAACACACCTTATAGTTAAAAACAAAATCCTAAAATCCAGCCTCTTCCTGAGGGGCAAGGCGGTGGCATCACATACAAGGCCCAGTCCTCTGTGAGGGCCCACAACACATGGCAACCATTTAGCCAACTTTGCTAATCTGGATTAGTGACGTGAGAAAAGCTACTGACCTGGACTAGTGTCTGCTGACATGAAAAAAGTTACTGTTTTCTTTTTGTTTGTTTGTTTGGTGGGGTTGGGGGGGCAATGGCAGATGAATTTCTGTGAGTTCGAGGTCGCTTCCAGCGCAGCCAGGGATACACAGTAAGACTTGTCTCAAAACAATACAAACCCAAATGGTAATAAAAATGTGGAGCAGGAATGGCCCCCATAGACTCATGTGTTTGAATGCTTAGTCCATAGGGAGTGGTACTATTAGGAGGTGCGGCCTTGTCGGAGGAACTATGTCATGGTGGCGGTGGGCTTTGAGGTCTCCTATGCTCAAGCTCCACCCACTGTAGCACACAGTCTCCTTTTGCTCCCTTTGGATCAAGATGTAGAACTGGCAGCTCTTTCTCCAGCATCATGCCTCCATGGATGCTGCTGTGCTTCCCACCATGATGATAATGAACTAAACCTCTGAAACTGTAAGCCAGCCCCAATTAAATATTTGCCTTTATAAGAGTTGCCTTGGTCATGGGGTCTTGTCACAGCAATAAAACTCTAACAAGGACATTCTTAGTCAGTTTTAAAAGAATTCCATATTTATTAGGGAGAGTTTGGAAATGCTGAAAATGACAAGGAATAAGTTCCTTTAACCTGCACCATCTAAATATAGAATTCAGATTTAGGAGTATTTTATAATTTTTCTCTTTAAGTGATCTTAAAAAACACCACTTGTTATCACAACTATGTGCAGTTATAAATGCTATTTTCCTTATGAAATACAAGTGCTTGCTAATGTACTCTTACACAGAGACATAATTTTTTAAAGGTTTATTTATTTTATGTATATGAGTACACTGTAGCTGTCTTCAGACACACCAGAAGAGGGCATCAGATCTCATTACAGATGGTTGTGAGCCACCATGTGGTTGCTGGGAATTGAACTCAGGACCTCTGGAAGAGCAGTCAGTGCTCTTAACCCCTGAGCCATCTCTCCAGCCCCAGAGACATAATTTAACTTTTAAGCATTTTTAAAAATTAATAACAAATAAAAAAGTTAAATAAGATCGGATTCAAGCCACTTACCAATATTCTAGAATTTAGTTATTGTCTTTTGACAGCTTTTAGCCTTTTTTGGTTTTATATTGAAAGCATGCTTCAGTGAACATCCTCTGTTCCTCTTTGCTTATGCATGTAACTCTTTGGGATCAAGTTTAGAAATATTTGGTTGCAGAACATATGTAAGTCTAAGTGCCTCCAAGAGGTCAGGAAGATTTGAAACTCCATCGAAACTGCTTCTCTGTCCTCAGTGACACAGCCCAGCCAATCAGAGCTTGCTGTCACCCCCTTAACCTTAGGATCATCAGCTGAGTGAACCTCTTCTTCATAGTTACCAAGCTTTATTGAATATTCATTCCATTGTAGTAATGAGAATTGGACCATACAGTGTAATCCATACCCTGCTCTGTTTGTTGTTGTTGTTGTCATTTTGTTTTGTTTTTTTTTCTTTTAGCCAGGTTGTTTGCTCATAAGAACTCTACATTTTTGATGAGAAAGGAAAGCTGTAGCTCCCTGTTAGCGTGTGTTTGTAGGTAGTTCTTTAGTTGAATTGTTCTCTGGCTAGTATAGCCAGTTTAGGAGGAAAAAACTTTAGACAAGAGTACTGTGTTATTGCAATGGAACAATGAAAAAACTGTAAACACTGTAGTGCATGGTGGGAATGAGGAGATCCATGTGCAGTTTCATGAACTGGACAGTCTATTTCCATAGAAAGAGATTCCTCTATCCCTGTAAGGTTACACTGCTTAAAAGGAGCACAGGGTGAGTGACTCTCACAGGGAATCCACTCCACACACGAGGTCCATTAAACACGGAGCAGGGAAGGCAATAAACACGGAGCAGGGAAGGCAACATCGTGAGTTCAGCCACAATGTAGCATTTCAAACCTACACTACAGACACTATAGCCATGTCTAAGCACAAGCAGAGGGAGACCTGGACAAATCACAAAAAAATAACCAAATAGCCTCTCTTGCAGCTAGCATGAAGGTTTGTTGCTGTTTGTTCATTCGTTTTTGCTCTGTGGTGTTCCCAACTCACAGCTGACACTTAAGACATCCAATCATAGGTCGTCTTGCTTCCAGACACAAGCCCAACGTACATGACACTCTTTTCCCATGTTACTGAGATAACTTCACAATTCCCCAAGGTGTTCTCTCTCTCTCTCTTCTTTCTCTCTCTCTAACTGTAACAAACAGTAGTCCCACCCCACCCCCCACCTTTGATGTAAGTGTGCCTCCTGGTGTCTGTGGGCATCTACATGCCAGCCTTTTACTGTCAGCCATGAGAAGGATATTTTCTCCTTGATCTTCTGATCACTGAACCCTGTTTCTGATCTTTTCTGTCACAGGTAAGTTTCTTGTTCTATGTTGCCAGTTTTTAAAATCTTCTCTTACAATGGCTTCTTAGCTTTATGACTTGTTTCTCTGCCTTAGATTATCAGTAAATCATGCTGCATTTTAATATTTCAATATATTTTAAATTTTTCTGTAACACATCTGAATTTTAATTTTGCAGGCATATAGTGGATATTAGAGAGGAAAAAATTGGTGTTCTTTGTTGTTGCAAACCTAGGCTACATCAGGAATTAATTCATAATTACCACTTAACTTATTTCACACTTAT